AGCCACCATAGGAGCCTGAAATGCAGCCACCATAGGGGCCTGAAATGCAGCCACCATAGGGGCCTGAAATGCAGCCACCATAGGGGCCTGAAATGCAGCCACCATAGGGGTCTGAAATGCAGCCACCATAGGAGCCACCATAGGGGCCTAAGGGGTCAGAGGGCGCTGGTGTACGGCAGCCCGGTTTCTGTCAGAGAGCCGCAGGTCACACATTCACCCGTTCAGACACACATGAATGGGTGAATGTGATGTACTTTGGTCAGAGGTGTCACGTAACAAAGTACAAATACTTCATTACTGTACTTAAGTACACTTTTTAGGTATCTATACTTTACTCCATTACTTATTTCTCTTCCTACTTCTGACTTCTACTCATTACATTTTCACACAGGTATCTGTACTTTCTATTCCTTACATTTTTAAAATCAATCGTTACTAGTAACTCTTGGTTTCGGTTTAATGCAGAGGTCAGGGATTAGCAGACTGCGGTCCGGTGTTATGCTGAAAAGTGCATCCCTGCCTAGATATGCATCCCAGTCGCAGGAGCGCGCCTCGCTCTGTACAGCTGCATATCAGCCAGGATAACGGATTAAAATATGACCAATGGAGCTATTGTTTTTACATTAATGATATAAAAACGTTTAAATATTCCTCTCGTGGGAAATAAATTGTGGTTATCTGGCAGATCAATTTACAAAAGTACGGGTGTTATGAACAACATTAACTCCAAAGATTTTATCCGAGATGCGACTGATTTATTTGTTCTAGTCTCTTGTTTTTCACACACAACAATAAACAGTGATGCTGACGTGAGTTTGGAAACTGCAAAGCTTTGTCTTCAGCAGAAAATCAAACACGCATCTAAACAGACCAGTGAGATGCATTCACGAGCCTCAGATAGCTATGGTGCATTCAGGAGCATGGGAAATTTCACACTTACAAGGAAAGAGACATAAAGGCATCAGAACTTAACTCATACAATAATGTATTTATTCAGAAACATTGTGGGCTTTCTTATAATACTGACTGCTCTATAATTGTATTTCTGTTATTTTTTGATTATGCACATCTGCTAGATTTTTATTCTGAAAAAATCTGTTATATTACTTAGACAGATTTTATTTGTCATTTTGTTTACACCAGTGTAAAACAAAAAGAAAATTTGTTTGGAAACAGCACTCTGGACAATTTCATCTTTTTTAAAAGTGCAGCCTTGAAAAATAGTTTTAAAAAAAATACATACATATATATATATATATATATATATATATATATATATATATATATATATATATATATATGTATATATGTGTGTAACTATTTTTCAAGGCTGCACTTTTAAAAATGATGAAATTGTAAAAGTGTTTATATATATATATATATATATATACGGTAATATAGTAATACAGCAGAAAAATTATCAGTTTTTGGAAATCCTGTTAAAAAGCTCCAAATGAGGCTTCGGATCAGACAGCGACAATTACGCTGTCATTGTTTAACAGGCAGAATTAGCATTTGCTGACCCTTGACCTTTAACTACTGATGGATAGCACAGGAATACAGAGTCAACTCCTCTGATAGCAGAGGATGCCATTTTTGGAAATTTCTATTTTATCTAAAATAATAATCACTTTTACTTGAGTAAAGAGGTCAAGATGATACTTCAACTTTTACCAAAGTGTTTTTAAATTGCAGTATCTATACTTCTACTGAAGTAACACATGTGTGAACATTTGACCCCGCTGGCTTTGATCAGGAGTGAAAGGGGCTAAATCTGTTGGACCTTTTCCTCGACACAGTAGAGAAGCAGTCAGCCGGAGACTTCCTGTCCAGTAACAGGTCGTTAAACGGAAAGGTGGTTTCACTTCCAGAGCCACAGAGATTAACTCTATTAATGCCTTTAAAAGATGCTTTGGTTTTGGACTGATTGATCAATGATTCCTTTCTTGCTTCGCTTCATGCAGATCCTCAGCATCAGCCTGCATCTGGCCTGAGGCGTTGCTTTATAACTGGATGATTGACTGAAACCTTGACTTTAGTAGAAGCTTTAGACTCTAAAGGCCACAAGAAGGATCCCAGGAGTTACAGTAGGAAGCTGCATCCAAACTGGGACGCCTCCATCAGCTAGCCCCGCCCCTTTAGATGCTCCTTTTCATTGCTAAATATGTCTCATAGCGCTGCCTAGGCGTTAAGCTCCTCCCCCTGCAGGGAGGCGGGGTTTTTATAGATGATGGTTTGTAGTTTAGCTTTGCTGAGATGCTGGAATAGCTTTAGCTTTAGTGACTTCTGTTCTGCTTTCAGGTGTTTGCCCAACCTGCCAACGTCTCCATTACCAAGATGGACGTCAACAACCTGGCCATGGTCATGGCCCCCAACTGCCTGCGCTGCCAGTCAGACGATCCCAGGGTGATCTTTGAGAACACCCGCAAGGAGATGTCCTTCATCCGGGTGCTCATCCAACGGCTGGACACCAGCTTCATGGACGGGATCTTATAGCCCCCCCCCAGGCCTTTAACCTGCTCCATCACCCCCCCCCCACACACACACAGCGCAGGACTCCATCATTAACTGTTGCTGCCGAGGATTCATGTTTACTTTGTGAGGACAGAAACGGCCTTGGTTCTAACGTGGCTGCTTTGTTTGTGTTTCTGTTGGTGCGGCTGTGATGTCACCTACAGAAACTCTAACCTTAGACTGGAGATGTGGGAACATGGCGGTGCTGGGAGTGCCTTCACATCCCATGTAACCACAGTCAGCTGCAGGAACCTCCTCCATGGTTCAGAGGGGCGGGCGGCCAAACCAGTCCATCCCACTGAGGAGCAGCAGGGCGCCACCTGCTGCTCCTCAGTGGGATGGATCAACCAGTGAAGCAGGAAGTGAACATGGCCTCATGCCTGTCCTGGACACGGACCACAGCGTGGAGGCGGTTCTAAAGGAGGTTCGGTTGGACGTCTGGGCTCTGGATGCTCCTGTTGGGGGCAGCTTCAGGTGTTTGAGTTAAATCCCTTTAAACGGGTTGAAATGATCCATGATCTCATCCTCGTAACGTTTCTAGAGCTTTCTGAACCAGAACCTCATTCTATCTCAGCAGCTTCTAGTTTGGTCCCGATTCTTTCATCTCCATGGCCTGCAGGCCGCTGTTCTGTCAGACCAGCATAACCATAGTCACTACGCATCCCCAACACGTCAGACCAGCATAACCATATACTGCTCCGGCACTATAAGTATATTTTGTATGAAAAATAGACTTTAAACTACCTCAACAGGCGTGTATCCCTTTAGTCGTGTACAAAAAAATATTTACTTACTTACTTTTGGTGTTTTTTGAAGTGTATGACCTTCCCGTATCTGACCTGAAGTAGTTTTTTAGTGCCTGACTAAAGCGAAGCGATATGCGCCCGCTGACGTAGTTTAACATGTATTTAGTGTACTAAACTAAAGGGATCAATTAAAGGGATGAACAGGGAATGCTGACTAGCATACACGTATGTAAATCTGACGTCATGCGTATCGACTATGGGTATGCTGGTCTGATGGGGGGGTGCTCATCTGACCCGGCCTGCGGGGGCTGGGTTCTTCCCGGCGACTCGTTGCTGATGCCTCTGCCTCCACGGTCGGCTTCAGGTTCTGTGGAGGAAACCTCTGAACAAACGGTGCTGTCCATCGACTAGAACCCGTGCGCCCAGAACCGCAGACAAGCAACGATGACAACACTGCCACCAAACCCCCCCCACTACCTGTGGGCCCAGAGGGGCCATCAGCTCACTAGTGATCAGCCCATCTGTCCGTCCCGTCTGAGTAAACCGACCCGTTTGGTTCCAATCTTTTCTATATTTAACAGTTTGTTTTTTTAACCGTGTCTTTTATAAATGATTTAATTTATTGCTATTTATTTCAGGGTTCGCTCTGACGTCCTGGACCGTAAACATAGTCTGTTGTGTGTTTGTTATCGTCACCCATGACCGGCTGAAGGCCAAACCAACCTCCCTCTGGGTCGGTGACCTGATCTTCTCTCCTGTTTGGTCTGTTAGCTGGTTCTGTTGTGTTCAGAGTGACTAATCAATCAACCAATCAGCCTCCGTCTTCAGCTCCAACGTATTCAGACCAGGTGAAGAGAAGCAGGAGAGTTTCTAATTTAACAGATCTTTAATATTAGCTTTAAACAGGAACTAAAAAGTTGTTTTTAAGCCGTCTTTTGGATCCTTTTTTCTACTTGCTTTGTACGTAGGATGAGCTGCTGGTTGTGTCGATGCTTGTTGTCTAACATGTCACCTTACTGTCACAAACACGCGTGTCAGAGGCTCTAACAGACGTGGCTTTAATAAAGAAACATTCAAATGTCAAAACAAACATGGAATGATGTTTTTTTCCTGGGAAGCTCCCCCCTCCCTCACATGTTGCTAACGTGGTCCGCCATGGTGTCGGTGGACGACCAGCCTTCCACCAGCGGATGACTGAAAGGCTGAAGGCTCTGCAGCGCGGCGCTCCATGTCTCAGGGTCTCGGTCTCCCGGGTTCTTCCTCAGGTCAAGGGTCAGTCTGTGGGGGGGGCGATGAACCCTCAGTCTGTCAGCGAACCGTAGCAGGTCAGCAGGCTGAATAAAATTGGACCTGCAGAAGAAACGGACACATCTCAGGATCCAAAGGTTTGGTCTTTTTCACCCATAAACACACTTCCTGTGGCGTTTAGAGCGTAGCGCCATACCTCTTTAATTATTGTCTGTGAGTTACTGCTTTCCCAGTCTCACTTTAGGGGGCGCTGTGGAGCAGTTTGGCCACGCCCATTTATAATTACTTTAAAATACTGACATTTTTCATCAGGGGACAATTTACCTCAAAGTCTGATGAGTTCTTGAATATTTTATGACCTCCAAAAAGCCACGAAAAAATAATAAACTATAAATAAAAGAGCGTTTGGCAGCGCGGCGCTCGGCTCGGCAGCGCGGCGCTCGACAGCGCGGCGCTGGGCGCTAATGACCCATGAAGCTACTGATTCAGGGCAGGTTCTGTCTCCTATCTGATGGAAACCTCACCTGATGTCCAGCAGCCTCAGTGAGCTCTGGGACGCTCCACAGAACAGCTCTGCCAGCTCGCACACATTCTTAGCTGTGGAACAAGAACAAATCCATGCTGTGAAAATCCGTTAAACACAGAAGGTTGGTCTGACCGACCGACGCCCAGATTTAACTGATAACTTTATAACCATCTGCTGCTATAAAGCTGCTCATCTTAAAGCTGCTTCAGTTTCCCATTAGATCTCATCTCTGCTCCTGGTTCAACTCGTCACTCAGACTAAACTCCCTGATGGTTCTTATAGTTTCAATAAACAGCTGAAATGTTTAACAGAAAGCTGGAAGGATTTAATCTTCTACAGAAGACTGGAAATGCTGTGGATTGGGAAAGATTCCCAAAACGGATCCAAACTGAGGTCCAGAAATCCTAAAATCTGAGAAGCGAAAGAAGACGATCTGCCAATGGAGGACAAGATTTACTCTTATATTAATTTGTATTAGTTCAAGCTTAAATCATTTAGATTAAACTGGTCTACACCAAACTAGACTAAACCAAACTGGATTAAACCAAACTGGATTAAACCAAACTGGACTAAACCAAACTAGATTAAACCAAACTGGACTAAACCAAACTGGATTAAACCAAACTGGATTAAACCAAACTAGATTAAACCAAACTGGACTAAACCAAACTGGATTAAACCAAACTGGATTAAACCAAACTGGACTAAACCAAACTGGACTAAACCAAACTGGATTAAACCAAACTGGACTAAACCAAACTTAGACAAATTTTATTGTCATTTTTCCAGTGTATAAAAAATTTAATTAGTGCAGCTTCTCAAACAGTGAAATGAACTTTTCCATCCCTTAAAGTGCAGCAGTTATTAAATGTGAACAGTGTGGGAGAAAAAACATGGTGCAAGAAATGGATTGATCTGGGAGATCAGAACATAGACTGGTCTAAACCAGACTGGTCTAAACCAGACTGATTCTGTTTCCTGGTTGAACTTTTCACCGCCTAGCCGTTAACGTGTTGGAGCCAGTTACTGCAGCCTGTGGGTGAAAGACGCTGAGGGTTCTTACCAAGTCGGTTCTGGGCCAGACCCAGGCTATGGAGGGACGGGATCTTCAGCGCCGACACCAGCTCTACAAGGCTTCCTCCTGGGTCTCCACACTTCTCCAGAAGACGACAGTCAGTGAGGCGCAGCTCTGAGACGAGGAAGCAGAGCTTCAGTGAGTCCCAACCCTGGACTGAGTGATTTCTGATGTTCAGACCGGAAGCGCTTTGAGCATCAAAGCAGCTTCTGCTGCTTCATCTATGATCCTCATTAAGGTCAGCCGTCCAGTAAAGTTTCTCCAGATGCTTCTGCTGCTCCTGTGTTCGATGCCAGAGAGCAGCTTTGCTATATCAGCTGTGATCAGCGGGTAGAAAGTAGTTAGAATCTATGTTGAAGTGAGAAAGTCCTCCTGAAAACATGGTCTGTGCAGTCAGTGGTCATTGGTTGATGAAGCGTGTCCAGCAGCTAAAGTTACATTTTTCCAACTCCAGCAGCTGCTGCTTGAGAAGAGCGTCCTGCACCTCAGATGCTGGTGAGTCGCTGCTCCTGCTGCTATAGACGCTGCAGGACCTGTTGCTGCACCTTGATGCGCGTCAACCATTGACTTTACATGTAGACTAGCTGCTTCTAGATGCGGTCTGAACGTAGAATGAGCCACTGGAGTTTGGAGACAGAAGCAAGCCAGAACCCCTCAGCCGGTACCGCCTGATGCCTCTGCTTACCTTCCAACCTGCAGCCTCTCAGCAGCTTCAGGACGTCAGGCAGACAGTCACACAGCTTGATGTCCTCCAGGATCAGAACCTTCAAACAGCGATTATACTCTGGAAAGGGAACATGAGATCAGATCCTAGTCTAAACCAAACTGGTCAAACCAACCTTAGACTATTGTGTATAAAAAATTACATCTTCTGCCTCCATTTATCTGTTTACTACTGGATTTAAAGACATTTCAAGTAGTGAAAAAATTGCAGGAGGGAATATAAAAAAAAAAATCTAATCAACCAGAATTTTCATGACCCCCATGCATTACCTCTGTGCCCCCCTAGGGGTGGCGGACCCCCTGTTGAAGACCTCTGTTCTAAATCAAACTGTTTTAGAAAAGTGTCAGAAGGTCAGGGCTTCTGGGTGTGTTCTAGATGTTCTTTCCTAGACTGAGATTAAACTTGGGTCAGAGACTAAAGTCATTTACAGTCTGACTGGACCAGGTCGGTGCTGTGAAGGTAACGGAAGCGATAAACCCAGAGTTTCCTCACCTGACAGCGTTCTGAGGAGCCCGCTCTGACTGGAACCTGTGGGGAGTCTGATTCCTGCCACGTGGAGCCAGGTCAGGCGGGGGCAGCGCCTCAGCACAGAGGTCAGGAAGTCAGCATCTGTCTGCAGCTGGCTGACTTTCACAGTCAGCTTCTCCAGAGGAAGATCTGCAGAGAACGGGTCAGAACCGCTGGGATCAGAACCGCTGCTCCCTGGTTTCAGCAGATTCACTGTCTGCTCCGTAATAAAAGCTCCTGTAAAGGTGACTCACCTGCCATGTGAGGCTCAGCGTGATCCAGGAGACACTGTGGGCCCCAGAGGGCCTCCTGGAACTCCACACAGAGGGCCTGCAGCCGGGGGCCGGCCGTCAGCAGGGTCTTCAGGAGTCCGATGCATGGCAGGATGCCCATGTTCAGGTGAACAAGGCCGCTGCATGAGGCGTCTGAGAGCTGCTTGAGAGCAGCAGCAAAGGCCGACACCTGGGGCTCCCTGAAGATGGCTGCACAGAGCAAACGGGTCAGAACCCCCCCACCACATCAACCAATGAGCTGCGGGGATCAAAGGCTGGTCCAAGGTTGGGCTGTTTGTCTGTAGGGAGGCTGATCTCTGCAGACCTTTGAGGTTAGATAATCTATTCTAGATCAGATCCCTTCACTAATGGTTTGATTTTCCTTCCTTAGCTTCCACAGACGTACACAGGGCTACAGAGGGGCCGCTCAGAGGGACTTCCCCCCCCCTGAGAATCAAGGATCTCTCAACATCTTACACTGCAAAATATAGAAAGTTAAGTCAATTCTTCTTAAAAGAAGTGATTTTTTTCTTGAACTGAATCAATAAGGGAGAGACTTTGGAATAAGAAAAACCACCGTTTAGATAAGAAAAGCCACTGCAGTCTATTATTTCAGGTGCATAATGTCTAATTATCTTATTTAAGGGTAAAACTTCTCATTCCATCGGCAGATCATCTGAGTTCTGCTGACTGGACCGGACCGGGCATTGTAACCGAGCTCCAGGGCTGGTTTGAGAACCCCGGCAGCTGGGGACAGAGCAGGGAACCCAAACCCGACCCGGTGACGGTATTTGGCCCCGTGCAGGCGGGGGGAAGCAGGGGGCCGCTGGTGTCCAGGCTACGGTCACAGAGTCGGGCGCTCTGTTCCCGGACCAGCTCTGGAGCTCACAGCTCGGTTCTGCTGCGCTGTAGTCACCCAAAATCCCAGACCATTTTATAATTTGACATTTTTTTAGGTCTAAAGAGTAGGACATGTCCGGGTAAAAGAGGACGTCTGGTCCCCCTGCACTGCAAAAACCATCTAAAATAAGTACAAAATTTCTTAAAATAAGTGCATTTACCCTTAATTTTAGTAGGTAAATAAGATGATTTGCCAATGGAATGAGTATTTCTACTCCTAAAATAAGACATTTAGATAATATTCACTTGAAATAAGACAAAGCAATTGTTTT